AACGAATAGTGGATTGACCGTCACATTATAACGCCCCACGGCTGAAAGGGCGAGCATGTTTGGTGGGACGGGGATGCGAACTCGCGACCCGCAGATTGCGAGTCGAGCGTCCTAACCACCTGGCCATGCCGGGCAAACGAGAATGAAAGAGCCAGCGACTGTTTAGTAGTTCGGAGTGACACTTCTATAGAAACTATTGGAGAACTAATGTACAAAAGAAGCACAAGAAGAAGAAGATGTTTCGAGAGCCTTACAGAGACAAAAGACTTTCAAAAACTTGACCGTTCCACTTGAGCTACTTTTGTAAATTATTCCTTCAAGAACCGCAACCTGAGGGTCGCGAGTTCGAATCCCCATCCCACCAGATATGCTCGCCCTCTCAGCCGTGGGAGAATTATAATATGACGGTCAATCCCAATATTATTTGGTAAAAAAAGTAGCCCAAGAGTTGGCGATGACTTCCCTCTAGTCTTACACTGCTAAATTAGGGACGGCTAGCACAGATGGCCCTCGTGTAGCTTTGCGCGAAATTCAATACAAACGAAACTTTCTCTAGAAGTGTTACTCCGAACTAAACAGTCGCTGGCCATTTCACCTTTGTCGTTCCTCAATATTGTCCATAATATTTTCTGGCACTTTTTCTCTGTAATTAATATGATAATATTCATACTTCTTCGAACTTTCTTCTTCTTGTTGTTGCTTTGTAGTGAAGACAATCCAATCAATACTCTCTTCTGAGATTTTTCTCTTTGCAATGAAGATAATCCTTGGAATAATGCTTACTTTCTGACAGTTGCCCCCCTTGCAATACTAAAAACCGAGTTTCGATACCCGTGGTGGGCAGAGAACAGATAGCCCATTGTGTAGCTTCGTGCTGCAAACAAACAAAATCTGAATGTTTTCTTAGTAGATTACTGAAAGAATTTAGTGCGACAACAATTAATTTTCATAAGCTAAAAATAGAAATAATGATTTAACCTTCTTGGGTAGTCTTCTATAATAGTGATAGTTTTTGGAATACCGTTTATTTTCTGATAATATTCTTAATACTTTTTTCTAACGCTCTTCTATCTGTAATAAGGACAATCTTTCGAGTACTATGTATTATATGACACTCTTCTCTGTAATGAGAGAAGAGTGTCAGATAATAAACATATACACAGGATTATCATCATTACAGAGAAGAGTGTCATATAATAAACATATACACAGGATTATCATCATTACAGAGAAGAGTGTCATATAATAAACATATACACAGGATTATCATATATACACAGGATTATCATCATTACCTTTATTATATGACGCTCTTCTCTATAATGATGATAATCTTTATACCGAAGATGAAGATAATTCCTATTTATACTTTTTCCAATACTCTTATCTGTAATAACGAACAATATTTTAAAGATTATATTTACCTGACAGTTCTGTGTAATGAAGGTAATACTGTGAATGATATTTACATTCTAACATATTTCTGTTTCTAATGAAGGTAATACTGTGAACGATATTTACATTCTAACATATTTCTGTTTCTAATGAAGGTAATACTGTGAATGATATTTACATTCTAACATATTTCTGTTTCTAATGAAGGTAATACTGTGAACGATATTTACATTCTAACATATTTCTGTTTCTAGTGAAGGTAATCTTATTTATACTGCATATTTGTTATCTTCTCTGTAATAAATATAAATCATTGAAACATGCAAAATATATTTTCTGAAATGTGTGACTCGAAATTTACAATTATTAACAAACATATTATTTAAAAAAATATAATTTCACTGCTTAAATACAAAAGCCCATTTCTTCCTTCATATCTGCCGAAAATAATCTACCAGGACTACAGGAATAAATTAACACGTAGCTCCATGCAAAAGCACGTGTTTTTTTTTTAGTACTTTTATAAGAACATTTCTTCTCTTAAATATTTGTTCCAATTACTTGGGGTCAGTTTTTCTGACTCTTGCCCTTCAGTCCCTTCTATTCTCTATTAAAAGCTGCATTCACAATTTATACTCAAGTATCTCTAGGGGAAAAAAATATTTAAATATCTTCGGATAGCAATGTCTAAAAATTACATATTTCAGTAATATTACACACATCACTTGCCTACAATTGCAACATCGAAAGTTTATTAACTGTCATCAACTATGGGGTTTCTGTGGATGATATGACCAGTATTAACCTGGTCCATCATTGTCCAATTTAAAAACTGTATCATCGTATCACATTGCATGCTATATTTCTTACCAAAATCGGATAAATCCCGGATTTTCTAAGTTCGATCCCTGACACAAGGAGCCTCTGGTGGAGGTAGAGAGAACCCATGTTAAAAATTTCAACGAGTTTAACTTATAAGCATTGGAATACAATGGTTTTCTAATTAATTTAATTTCTCTTTCAAGTCTGTTCTAAATTCCAGTAAAAACGTTTTATAATTTTTTAGTTATGCTTTCTTTTCGAGATAAAAGTTACGTTTGGTGGCACCATCTAGTAGCAAAAGCATCCATTAATCAAGATTATAATTACTTTTGTCACATACATGGATATATAATTGTTAAAGAACAAATGATTTAATATAAATGTTTTACTAGCATTATCAATGAACGACTAGACCACTATATGGTTACTTGGAAATTAGATAGCATATTCAAATTTCCCAAGATTATTTACTAACACAAATTCCACTGTATCAAAATAACTAATATAAACGCTTTAATAAATATGACTCTAGGGAAAATGTATATATTTTTTCAACAGTGTTTGTAGTGTGGAATTGCAGAAGCATATACTGCTTGCTTCTTTATTTACAAAATGAAAAAGTTAAATATTGTTAGGTTTTATGTTTTGAAAGTGTAATACACTTCCATCTGTTGGTACATAACTGAACTATATTGGTGAAATATATACAATATCTCCGAACAGAAGTATTATTGATGTTATTACATTACGTGAAAACCTAAGAGACAGTAAAGTGAATATATATACATATTCAAATTACAAAAAACAAAATTGTTATGAGTAACATACTTTTACTGGCCGAGACTGAATCTGAGAAATTAACTTTTCAACTGCAACGAATTAATATGATCTGACATTTTTGTCATGAAACTGCAATTATTTTTTTAAATATATGTTAAAGTAACCCAGCAAAGCATCACCGACACATTATTATCATTAGTAATAATTAAGCCCATTTATTTACATAAAATATTGATTCTTTCAGTTAACAGCATTTAATAATTATCAACCGACATCTATGAGCAATATTTAACACTATTTGTCTTCAAAAATTATTTTTCTGCTTACTTAACAACCATGATCGAGCAGTAAATGAACCTAGAAATTTTTTTCGTTATTTATTTATTTTATAAAACTCTTTGTCCTTCAATCTCATTTCTTTCCAATTAGTCCAAGCAGAGATTTAATCATTTCACCGATCCCATCATAAATCTGATGAAAAAGTGGGGTATCATACATGAACGCTGGAGTAGTAACGATCAGGTTGCGCTTGTCAACAACCACCTCCTGGACACAAGAGTTAAGATATGTTTCACTATAACAGTCTTACGTTAACTTTATGACACACACTCAGAAATAATGGACACAATAATAAACATAAAATTCAAATTACATCATCAGATTATAACTTGTTTTACACAGTTCACTACCAACGAGATCCACTATAATGATTAATTTTATACTTTTTGGCTGTTAAAATATTAACTGTAATATCTGATGGTATTTTTCCTTTACTTTTTTGAGTTACTCACTTTATTACGGACTTGTAATAAACAAACGACCCCACAATTAAGGTGCATCAATAAGATATATATATTTAAAAGCTGATGGAGGTGGGGGGCATAATCAATGGCTAATAATATAAAAACTATTTTCTATATAAATTACTATATTAATAAATAACTTAACTATATTTAAAATTATGTTAGGAGTACAACAAGGCATGAGCCTGGCTCTTTTCTAGGTGTACATTAGTTTTAAAATGTTGAAACATGAGGGGTAACACAGTGTTTATGTAAACATCATTTTTTTATGTTTGATTAATAAACCAAAACCTCTATACTCAACTGTAAATGATAAATATTGAGTGATTATTAAGGTCACATGTAGTTACAAACGTCAATTGTATTGATTAAGCATAGAAAAAAGTATTAAACTTCTTTATTTCAGAAATTCCTACCTAACCCTAATTTTTATCTGATAGAGTAGAGGGAAGGCAACTAGTCAACAGTGCCCATTACAAACTCTGGGGCTACTGTAATCAAAGGGAAGTTTGACCATCACTTTTATAATGCACCCATAGCCCCAAAGTGCTGAGCATGATTTTGCACAAACTGAACATGAACCATCAAATCAAGGGTTCACAGTCTGGCACACTAAACACTAAGTCACACCCAACCCATGATATATTAAATAATATAACCATTAATTATAGGAATCCAAACTAACCTAACAACCGAATTACTTTCACATAACCATTAGCTACATATACTAAAGTTTTAATCCAGCTTTAAAATATATATTTTTTTATCAAAACATGATGATTGGGAAATTATTTACAAAAGACCGAGTACAAATGTCTAGAGAAAGCACAACTCTGCCCAATAACCTGTTCATCAAAATAATTACCGAGCAACTTAAATTACTCTACTGATTGCATAATTCACATAGTACTCATATCCTGTAGTAAATGTTACTTAATAAGTTTTAAGATGTCTAAATGTTGATCACTCAAAGAATAACCTTGTAAAAAAAAAAAGAACTATTTACAGAGAAATCAAATCTTCCTACTATGTTAGTGATTATAAAATACTTTACCCACTTTTTAAATCTTTAATAAAAGAATTAAATAAATACACATTTATATGCAAAATAAATCTTCAAAACTAATTTTAAAAACTTAAACTATCCAATTCATAAATTACTTAACTTATGTTCGATAAACAACATTCGATTTACGGTTAAGGTGATTGTCTTGGACATTCACACAAAGCTACACAAGGACTACCTGTGCTATCCATTCTAAATTTAAATTGATAAAGTTGATGGAAGGCAACAAATCAATACTACCCATCACCAACTCTTGAACTACTTTCAACAAATATTGGGATTTCAAAGTCATTCTTATAACACATCAATGACCCCTTAAATGTGAATCACAATTTTGCTGCAGTGGGAGGTTTGCCATGATCCCTCAGGTTCACATGCACAAACTAATATCTAGACCATGCTCTGCTCCTTAATCTGATCTTTATACTCAAAAGGATACATCAACATTCTTATTATGATGAACAGACCCCCATGACTTCACAGCTTCTGTAGCACCAAAATAAGGCCACTTTCCTGTTCCATCATCTAAAATTCAGGAGTAATCTCTACAATGATTAGTCTTCAACATAAACTTTTATCTCGTCAAACAAATAGATCCCAAATCACATTTATTGAGGGCATGACAAGAACAGTTGCTGTCTATGAGATCTAACATTCAGATTGTCTAAACTATTATATAAAATGAAATATTTTAGGAGTAACAGTTTAACTGCCAAAAGCTGGTGAAGCATTTGAAACCATTACACCTATATTTTGTGGCAAAAAATCACATAAGAGTCAGATATTTTTTTTATTCACCTTCCTCTTAATTTCTGTATTTCAGATTTTAAATCAGATGCATGTAAAAATAGTATTTCAGACCCATCTTTTGTTTCCCATAAATTGCATTTAAACTATAACTTTTAATGTATTATACTGGATATATAGATGGCGTTTCAAAGAATCTTTAGTCTCTCATCGTCCAGCTCTGCAGATAATTTCTGGTATTGAATGAAAGGCCTCTTTGGCAGTAACTTATAAGAGACAAATGTTTTAAAATTTTTATATTAAGAATAACTTTAAAACTTTGATCCTATATTCTGTGAAACAAATTACATAAAACAATCATACTACATTAAATATTTGTTCTTTTCTTTCAAACCAGTTTAATGTTGTTTATCTCTTTATGTCAGAGTTAACTGCAAGATCAACAATAAGGGGAAGCTTCCAGAAAAATGGGGGATTACAAAGAGTTCCTAGCAATAAAACAAATGTATTTCACTACCTTTATCTTGACCGAGTGTAAGTTCAACCTTCCCTAAAACTCTAGCAGCCAAAACTGGAGCAATACAACAAAAGCTGTAGGAGAAGAAAGTCTGAATGAATAAAATATGCAACAACATAACTATTCAGAACTTTTGTAACTCAGAATTATAATCTTCTTAATAGTTTTCTCAAGCCTTTGGAATTAATTAATTTTTTTTACAAAATCGACAATTTGGTTAACGTTTAGAAACTTGTTTAAAAAGCATTAAAAAATTTTTTATTTTATTTTAATAATCTCAGACAAACAATTTCTTAAATTCTTATTGGACTATTGTGTTTCTATAATTTACATAATGTGGTTCATTCATACTGTTAGGTAAGAAGGTTTTGTACATATTGGGAAATAAGAAGTTGTTGCCTTTTTAGAAATATTAAAATAACTTGTCACAATTCACTTGTTAAACTTCCATAGTTTAATAAAATTTGTTGATTTTCACTTTTTTCTAGTAATGAAAATTGACAACTTATTGCATAATAACAATAGCTATAACTATGCCAGTGGTGAAGTGTAAATCTAAGCCTCAAAATTAATCTAACTTTGTGGTTGCCAACCTTTCATCGAAGCCTAAAAAGTAACCTAACTCTGTGGTTGCCAACCTTTAATCTAAGCCTAAAAAGTAACCTAACTCTGTGGTTACCAACCTTTAATCTAAGCCTAAAAAGTAACCTAACTCTGTGGTTACCAACCTTTTTTTTTTTTTTTTTTTTTTTTTATGATGCATGTCCTCAGTCATAATTCAAGGGTGAGTTATTATTATGTAAACTTTGAGAGCTTTGTAACCAAACAAAGCTGTACTCCAATTTTGGAGGGTGGATATATATTTTCTTTATTGTTTTCAAAGATTCTCACATACCCCTGGAAAGGTCTCCACATACCTCCCAGGGGTACACGTATCACAGGTTGTGAAATACTGGACTAACTTGCTAACATATTTTTAAGACATCTTGGCTTCCACTTATATTTTTTTACTTTTGAATCAATCTTTAATAAACACTTTTGCAGTCCAATAACTTCTCTCTCTAGAAATCACAGTTGTTCTCTGTTAGCCTAGCATTATTCTGACCTTCATGAAAAACCTGTCTTGACCAAACAGTTACATAGTAAAAAAACCATAACAATCACACACAATTGTATCACAAAAATGAAACATATAATCAACTAATATTAATTTGGTTTGGTTCTTATTGAGCACATAGCTACACAATAGGCTATCAAAACCTGGTGTTTAGCATCATAAGCCTGCTGACTTACTGCCGAGTAACTAGGGGGCACTAATATCAATACCAATACTTGTAAAACTTGTCACAAGAAATTATTTATAACTGATAATAAGAAACTAATGGTCTACTGTATTCAAATATTTAAATGTTGGCAGGAAATTTTATGTTAAGAACCACCATTTGTTTAAAATGAAATAAATTCCTACATATTCAATATAATCTTGGATAGTCAAACAATCCAATAATGATGAACTCCAGCAACTCCGCCACAACTGTTTGTGATGCCATAGTTTCTATTAGGTTGTCAAGAAATTAATGTCATTTTCTTTTTAGATGAAAAAACTTGAACTTATATATATCAAAACAAAACATTTATTAAATGAAATAGTTTCCATTCTTATCGATGATGCTTTTCAATCTTACAATCAGATTGTTAATGCCCTGACTAAAGAAATCACTTGGGTTTGAAGCAAAAAACATGTCGATCTCCTCTTTAACACCTTCCATATTTGCATACATTTTCCCATTAAGATGGTGTTGTAGCAAATGAAAAATGGTAATCTGATGGTGCCATATCCAGAGAATATGGTGGGTGGGGGAGAACTTCCCCACCCAACTGCATAATCTTGTGTTGCATCAAATATGCCACATATTGACGTGCATTGTCGTGGAGAAGAAGAACACCATTCCGATTGACGAGTGAAGGCCGTTTCTGATGAAGGGCTTGATTTAAACGTTCCAGTTGCTGAATATAGATCTCTGCATTGACAGTTTGCTGTGAAATGAGGAGTTTGAAATTAATTACTCCTTTGATGTCCCACCAAATGCAAAGCATCACTTTCTGCAGATGGAGTCCAGGTTTTGGGGTTGGAAGTGGTTTTTGTCTAGGACTGAGCCTTGTTTTTGGTGTTTAATATTTGCATAGAGATTCCATTTTTCATCATCGCTGACAATTCTGTACAAAAATGGTTCGTGCACATTACACGCCAGAAGAGAAGAAGCAGCGTTCATCGGAGAGTTCATGAGGCACCCAAACACCTTCTTTAAGGAGTTTTCCCATATCCCTTTGATGTTTATGTATTGTTTCATGAGAGACATGCAATTTCAGGGCCATTTCACAAGTGTGTTGCCTTGAGTTAGACTCAACAAGCGTCTTCAGTGCATTAATTCCAACATGTCAGCCCCTGCCATCACAGCTTTTAAGGCTAAAGTCACCTGAACAAAATTTGCTGAACCATCACTGACACTTACAAATGTTCAAAGCATTTCCATAAACTTCTTTGATATTCTTTGTAGCTACAGAGGCATTATTTCCCTACTTGTATTCAAACAGCATTACATGCCAAATGTGTGTCTCATCGTATGCCATCAATATAAGGGATCAGAGTATACTAAACTTTACACATTATATAAGCTACACTAACGTGACATTTAGGCAGTTCATTTAACTATTATATGTGATGTACATTTTTTGTGGGGTGATTAATTAAAGTGTTCCAAAACGTGACCTTAATTTTTTGACGACCTAATATGTTATTGTAAAATTGTTTATGTTCTTCCACAACTTCTTCTTACCCACATCAGTCCTCTGTTTAAGTAACAAAGAACTAGTGGCCATACGTTTTACAAAAAAATACATGTAATTAAGCATTTACCAAAATATATGAAAATAACCAAAAACAAATTAATTAAATAATAATCAGTTTCTTTCACGGTCAGAAACTAGTAAATGATTCTATACAAAAAAATAATAGATTCTTATATGAAACTTTACAGATTAATAAAACAAATTATCAACTTGTAGGAAACTTGTTTGTACAAGTAGGACACTTGCAAGTTGTTAGTAGTTTGTACAAGTAGGACACTTGCAAGTTGTTAGTAGTTTGTACAAGTAGGACACTTGCAAGTTGTTAGTAGTTTGTACAAGTAGGACACTTGCAAGTTGTTAGTAGTTTGTACAAGTAGGACACTTGCAAGTTGTTAGTAGTTTGTACAAGTAGGAAACTTGCAAGTTGTTAGTAGTTTGTACAAGCAAGTTGTTAGTAGTAGGAAACTTGTTTGTACAAGCAAGTTGTTAGTAGAAAACTTGCAAGTTGTTAGTAGTTTGTACTAGTAGAAAACTTGCAAGTTGTTAGTAGTTTGTACTAGTAGAAAACTTGCTTGCAAGTTGTTAGTAGTTTGTACAGGTAGGAAACTTGCAAGTTGTTAGTAGTTTGTACAGGTAGGAAACTTGCAAGTTGTTAGTAGTTTGTACAGGTAGGAAACTTGCAAGTTGTTAGTAGTTTGTATAGGTAGTTTTCCTACCTGTACAAACTACTAACAACTTGCAAGTTTTCTACTTGTACAAACTACTAACAACTTGCAAGTTTCCTACTTGTACAAACTACTAACAACTTGCAAGTTTTCTACTAGTACAAACTACTAACAACTTGCAAGTTTTCTACTTGTACAAACTACTAACAACTTGCAAGTTTCCTACTTGTACAAACTACTAACAACTTGCAAGTTTCCTACTTGTACAAACTACTAACAACTTGCAAGTTTCCTACTTGTACAAACCACTA